CAGAGCTCCTCCATAGGAAAAAAATTCGGTTCTTACGTCCTCGGAGTTTGAATGAGAGTTCAGCATCAAAGTTGAATTTGAAAAAAAGAGAAATTTAGAAAATTTTGACTCCTCAATATGCCTTATGTGGCGAGAGAAAAAATAAACAAATCTCTCGTTTTGGTAAGTTGCAGTTCTCTTTCATATGAATGGTTGATGCTCGTTCCTTGTTTGAGTTTATGTCAACTACATATAAAAAGTTTCATCTTAAACTAGTAATTTCCTCATTTTTGGTCATCTTTGGTCGAGCATTTTTTGATGTGGCGAAGCACTTGCGATATCATGGGTAGTGTCTCTAGGAAGGTGAGATCGGGATCTTTCCAATGATACGTAATTTAGTGTGTCATTTTCAAAGAAATGAAGGGAAACAAATTCCAAAGTTGCATATTGAAATATGTTTCGTTTTCGTGGAGTGGCTGAATACAGTTGTATAATATATTTCTAGAATGGTCTCTCAGAGCTTCGTATAATGATTTGGGTTCTTCTCAGCTTGTTTTTGCATAACTTTCTTAGGACAAGGAAGGCAAACATGTGTACATTAAATTTTACCGGAAAAGGAACAGGCCTTTTCTTCCGACTGGAACTGGTGGATTTAGCGTCTTATTCATATATTTGCGCGTACGTATTTCGGACGAGTTTGGCTACTTGAATTGTTTTACTCTGCTCTTTTCTATAGCAGACAGGGTTACTGTCGTGGATGTTGTCGTTTGAATCTCTCCAGAGTAGATTTCTCCCTTGTTTGATACAGTGAACCAATCTCACACACCGGGATTGAAAGCGGGCTAGTCTTGAAATTTCCGAGAGGTCTTGAAGGTTTCGGACGTGATGTTGGTAGACAAGGAAACCAAGGATTTCGGTCTCGTCTTTAGGTGCAAACTTGTGGAAGGTCTGGGTACCGGAAATCGTTAATGCCGATGCATGGCGATTCCGTAGATATTCTCGTGCTGCAAGAACGTCATATCTGGATACCCAAATCGGTTTGATCAATTCCAGGTGGTGTGCTGTCCAATCGAGCAAATCTTTCGGGGACACAATTTGATCGGTCTCAGGTCGCTGCAGACTGGTCCTAGCCGCGAGGCGTTTGATGGTGCCTCCCACTTCGTCGCACGCGCCATTACCGTGTGAGGTAGCGAAGAAGTTCCATTCCGCTTGAATTCCAAAGTCGTTCTCATGGAGACAGATGTTTCAGAATTGTTTTTTTTTTCGATGTTTGTTCTGACTCGCTGCTCCATCAGAGAAGTAATGGATTTTTCGAGCTCGAGTAAGCGCTGCTTCAGCTCCGCAATTACTCTTTTTTTGCATGCTCATGCAGCGGCATTGGTTTGATCGAGGACGTCAGTAATGCATACAAGGCTGACATGACCGAGCAGGTCGTCCTGCTTGCAATAGGCGATGAGTTCAGCGTTGCCTTTGAAGTGTTCCTGTGATACCACTGAGCAGCATCCTGCACGATAAAGGAGTAGTTTTCCGCGAAATCTCCCATGAAGCAATTCTGTCCACAATTGGAAAGGTTCTAAGATGGTTTAATGGTTTTGAGTAAGATGGTTTTGAGTTTTATAACCTAATTTTTAAATGTAATTACTGACCATCCCATGAGGGAACAGGAAAAAATACATTATACTAGTATTATCAATAATTAATTTCTAATTAAGAATAATGATATGTTGTCACCAGGAGGGTGGGACAACCCTGTAACCGACTGGGTCAAACACATTAAACAAAACCCGTAAAGATAATGAGAAAGTCACACCATCATGATGACTTTAAATGAATTAAGTCGGGACCAACACTTAAGGTGTAGCCAATGGGAAAAAAGGGGGCTAAGTTGTATATCAAAACCGAAACCCGGATTTTTGAGGAAGGTACCCTGGCTCCTCCCAGAGGTACCGAGGATATTAGCAAGAGACTTGGACGCCGGAGTCAGTCGCTATGTGGAAGGCACCATTGTGACCTTATCATATCCGAGCTGACTCCGGGACAACCTACCAGCTATAAAGATTAACCCTGTTCCTTGGTTGTGTGAGGAGTGTGGCCCAAGTAACAGAGAGAAAGCACAGTAAGATAAATAACATTTTTTCAAAATTAGAATTTTCCCCAGTCGGATCCTTCTCCCATCCAATATTAATTTTTACATTGTTTACTATTATCCTATTTGAGAAACTCTGTTTTATTTGAAAAGTCCAAAGAATATAGATAGGCTTCTTGTTGATTAATTATTTAACAAGTAAGGTGGATAACTGTTGCTTTTGATAATTCATTATTGTCTTTATTTTTTAATAAAGTTAAGTAATTTACTTGGAATGATCACGAGGATTTCCATTTCTCCAGAAATTCTGTCTGGACTGGAATGAACCTGCCTTGACCCTCGAATCTAGAACAGGGCAGGTGATCAAATAATATTGATCACTTGTTACGTCACACTCCCTCAATAATAAATCGCACCGGCAAATTTTAAGCTCCATCTCCCCTGGTTGCGGAGATCACTGAATGTCACTTTTGGGAGATGTCAATTTCGTTCTGATATTTTTCTTTTTTCTCTCCCCTGGGCACTCCTGGGAGGTTTTCGGAGGAAGTGAATTACCAAGTGAAATATATTGACCTGGAGGTGACAAAGAGTCATTTTTTTTGCTTCTAGTGCACAATTTTGCCATAAAGAATGAAGTTAGATGCTGTTAATTTGGCTCCAGCCCCCGCCTCCAGATTTCCTGGTTGTCTGTTGCGATTGATTACATTTATAAGGAAAGAAGCATCATTTTGGTGGTTGTTCTTGCAAAGGTCTTCCGTTCTTTATTCATGGAAAACTCTATTCCTGTTTTCTTCTAGAAAATTTTATAACAACATTATGATTTTCCCTTAGTTGAAGATCAGGATTAGGCGTAATGAAGAGCATCATCTATCCCAATCGGAGGTTTCGGGCGAGGTTGTGATGCCCACGATTCTGAAGTGTTTCCTGAAATGATTGAAAGGCAAAGTCAATTTAGCTGGCTTGGTTCTCCACCAGGAATGAACATCTTCGCTATGAATTATTGTTGCTGGTCTGCCAGTGTTCCCGGTTCTCGATGACGCTCTTGATTCTCAAGTCCCGCAAGATATCATCATAATTCATCCATTCAAGTTCCCTCTGGTTTTGCAACCAAACTATTTGAGATGGCTCTACTCCATGTCATAGTGCATCGAGACTTCGCGGAGTAAGGAAGAAATCATGAAAAAGAATTGTGCAGTCTTTTCTTGTACTTGTGCAGTCGGTACTTGTGCAGTCAGTATCCTCGCGTCATGACCCATTTCCCCATGATCAAGAAATGTATTCATGTATGTAACTTCAAAAAGAAATGTATATCTGATGAGACGTTGCAGAACAAATTACACGTAATTGAATCCTATCAAATCCTCGCACTAGCATTGGGTGTCATTTAATCAATGCCAATATGACATTAGTCACTCATAATGGAATAACAATCATTATCACCGAATAATTAAATAGGATCGCTCCTGTTTCTCTTTCACTTGACTGGAGTTCGAAAAGCTGCAGCTATCATTAAATGCATGAACCCTAGTGAAATTTGCCGGAAATTAGAAACAAATTAGGTCTCCGTGCTTTCAGAGTTCATCATATGATAACAATTTCCTGCAGTGTATCAACAGCCGCGACAGTTCCTATTAACTCTTTTCAATCCATTCCCGCTGCAAAATGTCAACTTTCTCGTATTCTTCTGACAGCATCAACATTTTCAATACTTTTTCCTCTCTCAATACAAAATTGCTTCTGTAAATATGAAGCTCCATATCCTCGGGGCTGTGGCGAACACTGAATCTCGTTTTTGGAAGATTTGAATTTCTTTCCTTTTTTTCTCCCCCTTGGGAAGCCGCTCCTGAAGGCTTTCGGAGAAGAGAAACCAACCATAAAAAAGATATTGACTCGTAGTTGACGAAAAGTGCCCTTTTTGCTGTTTGTGTTGCCCCACTTCGCCATTAAATGAAAATTAATTTCACAGTCGTTCATTTAAGCTTAGAGTGTTGGCGTCGGTCTGGGTCTCCCAGTGTTATCGGATGTCTTGCCGAAGTTATGCCTGAATCAAGACTACTTCAACCCTCGTTTTGGTGTCTTCAACATCTATTTCTAATGTATAATAAATTTTCGTGCTGAGATAATGAGTTGAGATGAGAATGAAGCTACGGTTAGCAGTGATTCATCGATTAGGTGGTATATGGAAATATCTCATACGGACATCCCTGAATTAGCACATTCAGACACTGATGGAAATTCACCCGAGTGCCCCTGTAACTCAGCCATTTTTCCCTAAGTGTTGCAATTATGCACTCTGATTTTTTACATGTATATTTCAGAAACTGTAGGAGTAATCATGCTCAAATTTGGGCAGGGTGTAGTTCATACCTCAAGTATTCCTGCAGTATGTGGTACCTGGTGAGACAATCACCCTTATGTAAGGGGATCTTGCAAGAAGAGCAGACATAAATGGTTTGTCCGTTTTTGTTGTGTCTTAGGCACACCCTGCAGTAACTGGATGGGTACTTCTGACACATGGTGGGTGGAATGATTATCAATGTATGTTTAAGGCCTCCTTAGACGTATTTCATATGGTTCTTGGGACTCCAGATAGACCTAACGTTATACGTTCTCCCAAAAATGGCTCGCGAAAGTACGAATAGGTTTGCGTTGGCTATACGTTACACGTCCTCAACGATATGTCTAAGACCCTGGATTCACCCATATAGGCCTTATCGGCCCCGTAAATCGAGAATCCAGCTTTTTATGAATGAAAAAAGTAGGCCTTGGCGTGACCTAAAGGCAGTCTACAGGGTTTGTTAGGCCCAGGCCTAATGTTTATAAGCCACGCAGAGAAAGGAAGGAGGGGAGGGTTAAAGAAAGAGTAACATTTAGAATTTTGATTTTAAATTAATAAATATATTTTTACGTAAAAAAATCAAATGAATTCTCATTTGGGCGAAACAGGTTTAGAAAACTTGAATGCTGTCATATTGAAAGCACAGGCTTCTCTCCGGGTAAATCTTAATCCCAAAAACAACATTTGGGTCCCACAGCAGAGGCATCTGTAAGAAACAAGCATTCGGTGTTATTTTTGGTAAATAATGTTAACGTTGAACGAATTGTTTTCTTTTCCCTTGGCTTTAGTGTTATTGCATATAACTACATTAGACTTTAAGAAACGTCTCTGTTACTTTCTACATATTTCGCAACATCTACAAGCATGTACAAAGCAAACTTCCCGCTGTCACTCTAATGCTGCAGTAGAAAAACCTGGTGAGAGGATATGCTGTGTATCGCACAAGAAGTTCCCATTGTCATATCGCCTTCGAGTCCATGATTATTAAAAGGGAATTCAAGTCCACTCTACCGCATGAAGGCAATACATGAGTTTCAAATGAAGCCAAATCCAAATCAGAATCGCATTAAGATCAACGTTTTATATTACTTTCTTGAACATTATGCTAAAAAACGTTCAAGCATCCCAGATATTATATTTCAATATAATACTTCAATGCTTCTTTCAAAATATTCATTATTTCGATGCAAAAGTGTTTCAATGACGAATCACCTCGGAGTTTCATCCATTGATTATTCATGATGCATTCCACGAACATTCTGTTTATTGAGAATTCGTTGCATTGTAAATCCCTTGGCGATTGCTGCGCTCATGCAGTTCTCCTGCAAAAGTAAAAAGCAAATGAATCATGATTTATTTGATAACGCATTCTATGGAGGGCTTCATGGAAGGATTATTTGATTCTGACGGTTTATTCTGCAGATGTATCAAATCTTGTCTTTAGGGATGGACATGTGCTCACATTGAAAGAATGGAGCTTCCCTTCAAAAACCTAATCGGAAAAATTACTGAATAGCCTAAAGACCCAATAATATATTGATAAGCTATCTAATCAATAATAATAAGTAAAAGAAGCCGAAAGTTGTGGTGGCTGTCACCCCTATACCGCGACGCCTACGGCGCCATGACATTCTTGGACGGTCAGGCCTAGAATGGCATGGCACCGTAGGCCTAGAATTGGTCAGGCCATCCTCGACCTAAAGCGCCAGACATACAAGGCACTGTCATTTTGGGCAGTACGCTAGGCCATAACAATTGAAAGATGCCCAAAGCGTTGGTGAACGGTTGTCACTCATCCGCGGCATAACTCGCAAGGCTTACAAGGTTATGTCATTCTTGGCTATCGGCTAGAACAGGAAAACCTTGGTGTGATAATAAAATTAGTTGGGCGGCAACACTTTCGGACTTCTCGAGGCTTGTTTGTTTGCTTTAAGCGAAACTGCTTTATATCTTCATGTAAACATTTCCAAATTCCCGTTCATTAGACGGCCAGCGTAGCGGCCGCAGGCCGCGAGTAGCATTTAAAATACTCGTTCATAATTCTAGCATTTCCCAGTCTAAATTTCTCTCCCTTCTTCTTGTAACATATTATGACCCGACCGTGACATGAATACCGACAATTCATGAACACGTTTGTATATGTAACACTGGTTGCTCTCAGTTGATTACATTTCAAAATGGTAAAAGTTGTACATGATGGAAAACATTCCCCTCAGCAACCATATTGGATTATGTCAACAGTTTTCTATATGGAATAATTTAATTTAATACCTCCTTAGAATCCGATAAGACATGAAAAAGGATGTACTGAGACGTAGAAGCCGTTGTTTCCTTTAATTTAAATGAAACATGATATACTGAACCCGTCCCGCAAGTAATACTGCGTATTTTGAGGAAATGGTTCCCATGGTGTACATAATGAACGTTCACCAACCATCGAAAATTGTTATTCTATCGCTCTGGATTGTAATTCCCCCCTCGATTGGTGAAAATGTACAATTACCAGAGGCCTCAATTCCTATTTTCTGAATTAGTACTTGCCACTGATGACGAACACATTTCATTTATATGCGAGTGCAATATATCACTGGAAATATGCAGGAAAATATTGCCTCTTCCCAGATCCATTCTTCTCAATTCGGAAGATTTGGAAACTTGATACATGCCCCGTTAGATATTCATGAAATGATTGAGTAATAGTAAAGTAAATGATCAGCCGAAACAACGATTACCTAGAATATCATTGCCATGCAAGTCTCATCTTCCAAACAACTAAGTTTTAGTCTGTCGCCCATAGTCGGAATTATTTCAGGACACACCTCCATGTACTGTAACTGCAACACCATTAAGTTACACATTGCAAGGGTGTTACCGAAATAGAGAAATGAGAGTGTGCCAAAAAAACGTGCATAAGATCCTCCATACGAAACCAAACAGATAGAAATTCTTAGAGGAATTTAGACCGGCGATGTTATATTGAATTATTTGGTAGTAAGCATGTTGCATTTTACTTTGATTGTGTTAACATTTGTTTCGCAGTTCATGTAGAAATTGTTGGAATGCGCTGAAAAGCTCGATCAATGTACAATGATCAATTCGCCTTTGAAACGAATAAATTGAGAGGTTACTTCTTTTTCGCTAATTCGCCAAGGCTGCCTTGAAGTCATAACCAATTGTAATCTATAATAATCAGAATGATCCTCAAGTACCTGAACTCAAGGAAAATGAAATATTTCTCATCACTCTCATTATTTCTCCTTCCAAGTACGAAGAACCCATGTACTTAACATTTTTAGACCTGGCGTCCATTCCAATGGACAGTACATTTACATTGTATCTATGGCAATTTATTAGAATTATCGTGACTTTGCCCTCCTTATTACGCTACAATGGGTGCAATTATGCATGGCTAAGTTCCATCAGAGGCCTTATTTCGCTGATTAATTTTGTAATATCCTGTTATTTACTTACATGTATAATAAATAACATATGGTATGGCATGGTAAGTTTATACAACATATGGAAACTACATAAGCAGCACAAAAATTTAAATTACAATCACGAAAGAGCTCAAAAATGAAGAATGATATTATTCCGATAGCTGCCTTAATTCAGGTCTGAAAGGGTTAAGGTGGCCTTAACGACAGCCTGCCATGAAAATAAACGATTATGGGATGAATAAACGCTTTCCATTATTCAAATGGTTCAATATACAAAACTAACTCGAAGGTTTTGTTGCATACCATCTTGTTCAGACAATTAACAGTGCACTTATGTGAAATATCAAATAAATAATAAAATTCAGATACATGTTCGATTTTCTTAATAGCAGACTAGCTATATAGATGAAATTGAATACTGTGAGTTCCATTGTTAATGCAACTGAAGAAAATATAGTTATGGTAAGGAATAAATTTCAATTCATCCTTTACCCAATTGAAATGGAGGCATTCTTCCCAGATTTCGATCCAGGATCCACAACAGGGGAAGGGTATGAGTTCTCCACTCCACATCCAGCCCTCCGCGGAAGAAGATTTTCCTCATGGAAGAGGGTACCCTGCCCTCTCCGTGGACTGGAGGTAGCTTCTCCACATTGATCCACATTTCACCTGGTAATACAACAGTAGGATTTGGAAGGAGAAACGATTGGCAAAAGAGTTGGAAATATCCACACCATTACTTAATCAATTAATCAAACTTTATTGCCGGTTTGCCGGCTTTCGGCTGCAAGGTGAGATAAAGAACAAAGTACATCTCATACTACTAATAAACAATATCAAATGAAGTACATACTTTTCAAACACATTCAAAAACGTCCAAACACATTTTCAGAAGTACACAATGACATTTACCCGTCCAAAGACTGCATGCAAACCACAACATTGAGTCTATAAAGTGTATAAGTCGGTTTTTCGATATACCAGGAAAGCATAAATTGCGAAGAGGGTACATAAAATATCAAAAGGTGGGGTATTCAGAAAGAGGAAGGAAGAATTCCGACCATAGCCAGTTATATCGCTTTGATCTTAACACAAGTAGTATGCCCCTTCCATAGTGCGGTTTTCAGGTACGATTTGATTTCCTCTTTGTAGCAGTTTGCCGCAAAAAACAGGAACTGGTACGTATTGCGAATGCACATGGACTAGAAGTACAGCACAGCAAGGGAAGACAGACACAAAGGACACCAAAAGTGAGACGCAGGAACTGGTGAGGAAGTGAGGAATTGCAATACTGGTCTATTAATGTGTGTCGGAACATATTGTCTCCGCAATTCATCTAGTTCTTCGCGCCAAAATAATAGATGTTCCCTGGAATCCTGGTGTGTGCATAGGGGACACATGTGTTCGATCAATGGATGAATGATGGAAGAGAACTTCCAGGATTGCGTGACCCATCTGAGTAAGGCACCTGCTTTTCTGTCAGGGCCAATGATACATGAACTTTTCAATCTAAGCTATAGGGCCATTTTTAGCTGGTCAAGAGAATGTGTTGTTTCAAATTGAGTCCGCCAGTCTCTGCTTGTATCTCATATGAACGAAACATTCTTCTCATAAAGGACTTGGTGAGGGGGCCAAAGTACAAAGCATAAGAATATCCAAATTCCTGGCAGAAATCTCTGATTGACCTCAGCCAGCAATCGTTACCTTTTAGCATAATTGTGTAATGTTCGTTCAGGGCGGATTCAATCAGAGACCTTTTGGGCGCCTGTCAGAGTTCCAACCATAATCCTAGCCGACGTTTCCCTGTCAACACTCTGTTAGCAGGCGGGGTATAGAGTGACAGGATTAGAGTATTGGAAATTGAGAGAGGCTGTCATATGAGTCCGTTCAGGAAACCTGCAGATATAGCGTCGAGGTACCTCATCTCAGGAATCCATTCTAATCCTGCACCGTACAGAAGGGTAGTTACAACTATCATATTCCATATCTGGGTAGCCTTTTCGAGAGAGAAGGAAGAAATTTTCCGAAACAATCCTATTAGAGCTGTAGCTTTGGCCCTACTCCAATGGGAATGCATATGATCCGTCCATTGACTTCTAGTAGAGAACACCACCCCTAGGTATGTGAAATATTAAAATACTTCTAGTTGCTGGTCTGAATATAAAACTTTTGGGCTTGGCATTTTGTGTCCCTTGAAAATGGCATAATTTTGGTCTTCTGTACGTTTAGTACAGAAGTACTTCAGTATTTTCAGATTACTCTTTTTTGAGTAAGATGCCAAACGATTTAGCATTCCTCACGGGGTTAGAGATGCGATTGTCAGGTCATCCGGATACAGAAGTCCTGGTATTTCCCATGTTCCAAGCTTTGGCACCAGATATTTTTCACCAAATAGGAACTAGCAAGCCGGCGTAACAATCATTTTTTAACTTTTCGGACGTACTCCATTGAAAAATAGTTTACAAAGAGTAAGAGAAGAATAATATAATCTGATATAGCACAATGGAAATACGAACGCTTAGTACATACCTTGTACGGGTACGGGTCAAATGCATATCAATATATAAGTGAAACATTCCCTTATACAGACGAACCTGAGGGCGGTATCTCCTCTTACGAATCAGAAAGCTTCCATTGATTCATCGCCATGGCTCACCTTTCTAGGATTCCAATATTCATACCTATTTGAAGTTTCCTTGAAAAACTCATCCCCATGCATGGAAAAAATAATACAAAAGCAACTAGCATTCTCAGATGAGCCTAAGCAATGTTGCAGTTACTCACTCGTAAAAAAACCCCCCTGGAATTGCCTACTTTCCTGCTTCCATTCTATTAGGTGTAGGTCTGTATTTCCTGGGAAATCAAGTGAGTTGTAAATGGGAGAAAAAACGAATATGAACGAAAAAGTGAACGCATCAACAAGCTACCCAAAATGTCAAGGAACCATAGGGCTTCAATTTCCAAATGTCTTACTAAGGTTACCGAAATTGTCCCGGAAACATGGTCTAATAAATACCAGCATATGAGGCAAAATATCATAGAGAAAAGATGGCTGAAGACACTGCATATATGTTAAACTTACCAACGTTAGGAACAATAGGGATAAATATCATAGTTCCATGAGATTCTTGAGTGAAGAGAAGGATTCCCCTCCATTCGTCCTCCATTTGCTCTCTTCCTCCTTGAGGAAGAAAAGTAGCTGAAACCAGAATATATTCAACAGTAGAATCGTAAAATTCTCATTGTAAACTCATAATAATGTACCTACTTTTCATGTTGCTGGTAATGCCCAGAGAATACACTAATATTTAGGATGGCAAGTTGAACTATGAACTACGTTCATTTATTCTCGTATGGGACTGAAAAATGCGTCTTGAGTGATCTTTGATTCTTGACATAATCATTTCTTTTCTTATTTTTTTTTCTAATTTTAATGAATCGTGGATTTTCCCTTGTAGCTATGATGATTTGGAAACGTTTCGTGGATTTATTGGCATGCTCAGAGTGGACTATCCACATGTTATAGCGTGAATTTCAATCTACGGCATCGGATGCGCACATAATAATGAATAGGGTATTGAAGAGACTCACCAGATAGTTTCTCCCCTAATATAATTATCGGCCTTTGAAGGAGGTCTGCTCCGGAATTGAGAAGAGAAAATGGTTCTGCCTGGTTCTCGCTCCCAAGCAGCTTCTATACAGAAAAGCAAATGAGAAAATGACAAACATGAAGCTAAATGATGAGAATTGTTTCGAAATTCATCAAATCCCCTCATGTACGTTCTAAAAAGAATTTCTGGAGGATGACGCTTGAATAGGAGTAACCTCCCATTGGAAGAAAGGACACACATTCCACGCTTTGTATCAACTGGCCAAAAGTGAGCTTATTTAAGGTGTGCACCAAGTCTTTTTACTCCTAGTTTTACCCCAGATCAAGAGGATTCGAATTCTGACCATTGTTGTTCCTCTACAGCTGAATTCTCCTCCAAGTGCATCGAGCTATTTTTTGCGACATGCCGTGAGCTATGTCCGCGAAAAGATGTCGAACACCATCCTTGAGCTAGTTCCCATCATAGTAACGGTTGTGTGATATGACATGTAGGTGACCACTTCTGCCTCATGTAATTTCGCTGAGACTTCTCGATAGTACCCAATTTCCCTTTTTATTGATGAGCATGCATTGAAAAAAATTTATAGAAATGTTTTTTTTTCATGGCATCATTTGAATAGGTTCGATTTTCTTCATTCACGCTAGCACATTCAGTTCATCAAAAAAGGAAAATTTGCCAGTTGGCTCTGTCAGGCATTTATATATACAATACCCCTCCACCTTCATATCTTGACTTTATAGACGCTCTTAGATCCAATGGAATGTGTAAATTGGATTCATCAATGGTAGAAAAAAGCAATAAAGTTTCACTAATGAATGATGCATGGATATGTCTTTACACTTTATTATTAATTGAGAAAACATTTCGATATTTTCAGCTGCTCCAGGAATCCCCACAAACAAGTGAATATGTTCAGAAGCTGGCCACATATTCGAATTTCGCGGATTAAATTTATCCAAGAGTTGACTATGCTTGCGAAGATTTACACTCTCGGTAGCTATCGCATCGGTGCAGGTGAAGGATACGTAATCCAGAGTCCATGTGGAAGTACGCCGAGTATAAAATTAAGAGTCATTGAAAAATAAGAAATGAAGAACACGTTCAGAAAGAGTATGCTTGCATGGAAGGTTCAATGAACAAGAAAATTATGGAGATCTTCTTATATTCCAGGCATTCCATGGAAGGAAGTTGATGATGTCATTCCAATACGAATGGAACAAGTAAAGAAATGAACACATAAAAGACCTAATACTAGCATGGATGGAAAGCATTTATTCGGCGCGATTCCCTTTTGCCTCCTGAGGTACAATATATTTACTACTATACTCCCACGCAATGAAATGCAAGTTTTTAATATATTTTCTCGGTGAAATGGTGAAATATATATTTTCAATATATGTCACCATTTTCTGAAAGCCACTCAATGAAAACGGCACTAGGGCACTCTTTCCGCAGCACATTCACTTGGTGAAAACAAAACACTCTTGACAGAAAACAGGATCAGAAGAATTACCTGAAGGAGAGAAAGGTGGAGGAGGGATCCAGTAAGGCAAAGGGAAAGGGACTCCAATACTCCTCTTCTACTACTCGTTTCCAGAGGCACAGGTGTATCCGTCTGGTAATTCCACTCCAGTCCTTTCTGTCGGAGCTGGTCCCGGGCTTTGTCACTCTCTTGGTCTTCAGTTTGAGGCACTGCTCCTGGTGCGTCTGGAAAAATGAGACCAAGCTTGAATTAAGAGGAGCAAAGATGGAGTAATGGCGAATGGAGTTTCGTCGATCCGGATTTAAAAAATAATGTTGTGTCAATCGACACCTATACCAATTGTCATTTGTGCATAATGGTTGAGTTCAGGCGTAACCCATCTCTGATTCACGACAAAAGTCATGTCTTTCTTCTTGAACGCTGTATATGACTCAGCAGGAAAAAAGAAACAGTGTTACCATAAACGCGATGCGACCGGTTTAGTAAAATATTGACTCTGAAAATATCTTTTGTTAGGAATTTTATTGTCCGATTTCTTATCATTTTTTTGGAAGGTATACGAATAATTATATGAGAATAATGAGGAAATTGACCTTGTATTCTCTAAAGCTTGCTAGCAATTAGCTGAACCAACCAGAGATAATCTTTTCCCTAGGCGCATCGTTTGCGTGCTGGCAGAATGTCAGTGGGAAAGGTAACAACTACCTTTATATGAAGTAATGTGAAAACCAATTTTCAATGGTTTTCCCTTTCCACCCTCTTCTCTTCTCTACGGGACTCACTAAAGTTAGGCCTTGGAATAAAAAACAGACTACCTTCAGGTCACGCTAAGGTCGACCTTTTCCCTTTTTAAACTAAATTCGTGACTTACTGTGCAAATTAGCCCTATGAGGGTGAATCCATAATCTTCCACACATCTCCTTGAGGACGAGTAATGATAGGCCAATTGTTCATACTTTTATCAATTATTTCAGATAGGACATATAACTTTAGACCGTTCTGAGGCATGTTTCACATTTTATGAACCATTTCAGTGGGACGTGAAACATTAGGCCTATCTGGGGTTCCTCGAACCATCTCGAATAGGTCTGTGGAGGGAATGCCTCCAGGAAGCGTGATATCTGTTGTGCACGCGGTTCTGTTAATTCGGGGTGGTACGGATGATATATCTCCATATCCTCCCACATTGATCAATCACAGCTACATTCTCAGCTCAACGCATGAACTCGACACAAAAATGCATCATACATTTAAAAAAGAACAGCAGATCAAGACGCCGATACTAAGGTTTTGTATCTGGCATAATTTCGGCACGACATCCGGAAAATTCATTGGAGTCGATGAAGTGATACAAAAGTATTGCAATGGCTTCCCTTACAGGCCAGCGTCGAAGGAAGCTCTTGCAGTATGTACTGCGTATTGGTGTAATTTTCTACGCTATTTCTTTAAAGGAAAAAATGTTCTTATTCATTTTGAAGCACCTATTGCAGATATTTTCAATCAGATAGTAAAAATATTAATAATTCACGCTTAATATGGCGCAGAAAATAAATTGTCTCAGAGAGAATATATTGTATTGAGTTCAGGTGTACCGTCAATAAAAATGCTATTCAGATTGGAGCCGATGAATGGTTGTGCGCCATCAAATAAAAAAAATAATTGAAATGGCTTTACTCTTACTTCTTTAACCATATGTTACTAACTTTAACGCTTTTCCAGTTTGTTTCTCTCGGGATATTTTTGAGATACTTGAAACTATTTTGGCGTGCATCAAAAGTGGAGAGAGCAGAGAATATATATTTATGCAATTTAAGCAATTTGCTCATTAAGCAAACAGTACGGAAGCCGTTTTCTTGGTTGATATTAGAAGAAAAAAAGTGGTAATCGGTTTTAATCGTCTATTTCTGGGTTTTAAAGATCGAGGGGTAGGTCTTTCGTGCATTTATGTGTGGGGGATCTGAGTCCGTTATTATTGAGCAAATAGGAAAATTATAAAAAAAATTAGGCCGGACTGGATGAGTGGAAAATATGTTTAAAAACCCAAGTGCGCCGTAAATAGAGACCTCCATAGGACCCCTTCAAGTCTCTGCCGACGAGAAAGGCTTTGATTACTTCTATGACTCGTAACAGGAGACGTAGTGCAGTGGAGGGCTCCTTCTGGAAGAACCAATAACGTGAAGGTATTCCGTGCGTGAAATACGGCTAAACTGGTTCCCAAGTTCTTATGTTTTCTACATGACGTCCTTCCTTTGTTTTGCAACGCAGACAGTTGAAACTTAAAAACCATGTTACTCTACTTTCTCGCTCTGCATGTGTCACAAATAAAGCTCATTCTACACTTAATTCCGGAGATCTAAGCCATAATGCAATCCGACATTTTTTCGGATAATTCTATGGCAAATCGGTTAAGGGTTAATCCTCTCCCGGCCATACCCCAAAGCCTTGGTTCCCCAGATTTTAGTGCATTATCTTGCTAGAACGCGCTTTGTATAAGCTGCCCAAGCACCTAACGGTAAGTCAATGTATATCACTTGACACTATCTTCGCTCAATTATCACTAGTTGAAGTAATCATGGGAATGCCTCGGATGATAACGGTCATTACCCTCCTCACAAAAGAATTGATATACTGTTGTGTTCATTAATCTGGTTCAGTTTTTGTTTCTTTAGTTCCATTAAAAAAATCCATGATACTTTTCTTTAGAACTAAAAATGGATCTAATCATTAACCGATATTTTTAGCGTTTGTCATTACCATTACATTGAAATAACATGAAAATTACGAGACCTCCATTTTACTTTACCATATTCCACCAACACTTAACTAGCCGAGATAAATATACTGTCACTCAATTGGGAATAAAAATAGTCTCCATACAGTTACTTGCTTACCCTCAGTAAAGACGTATCCCCAGTCACGAAATGGAGAATTACTAGAAATGCTATTCAGGGCATCCCATGAACCAGGAGGGTAGAATATGGCGCCGCTTCCTTCGTCAAATATGTCCCCTTTCTCCAATGCCT